AAATGCAAATCTTTCCGAATTACTCAAATTTTCAAATCAGTCCATTATAGTATAATCAATAGTTAATTTTTACCGCAAAATTTCCTAGAAACGGATAAATAAATACATATAAATTTTGCTACCCAGTAGGTATAACTACAATTGCATAATCGTGTAAATGGTGCCGATCAGGGGATAATATTAATTAAAGGTAATAGGTTCGCCCTAAACTTTAATTAACGTTCGCTTAATTAATTTTAATTGAATAAAATGATAATTATAAGATGAATTAAATATGCATTTATGTAAAGAGAATTATTGAAGTTTCAAGATAAAGTAAATACTTCGTAGTAAGAACTATCGAAGTTTGAAATTAAAGGTAAAATGGATAAAAATTGAGGAAAATTTAGAGAAAGTTTATTTATTTTATATTGCTTGATATTTTATATTACTAACGTTATTTATGTTGTGAACTAAGAATGTTGTTGTAGTATGTTGTTGTTATATATTGTTATATGTTATTCGTTGATTATATTGTTTGTCAATTATGTCATTAATTATTTGCTTGTTTGTTCATTTAATTGTTCGTTTATTCATTTATTTGTTTGTTTGACCATGAGAATGCCTATTCGATGTGGCAACTCTGTAAGTTGATGACAGAGGGAATTAGAGGGATCTCAGTGGCAAAATAAGGTGTGTTTCTAAAGTTAGATTTACGTTAAATTTTCAATAATTAATATATATGCTATATATATGTTGATTATCTGCTAACATGACTTTGAAACTTCGGGCGAAACCACAAATCTTTGGGTAAAACTTGAAACTTTTACAGTATATTATTTAAGTATTCAAGAATCAATGGCTAAAATAAACCTGGATAATTTTTGATAACCCAAAAGTTATCATTAAATAAATGTTTACAATTATTGTAAAATTAATATATGTCTGATATTTGACAAAATCTTTATGAATTATTTTAAGAACTAATTTATTAACAATAAATAAAATAAAGTAAATAAAATCGAAATTTTTTACATTATTATGTAGAATTTGTGAAAAAACTAATTCAACAGTATTTTTTTATGTGATAATATTGGACAAGTAATCGGCAAAATAATCGGCAATATTGTGATAATATGGGGATGTCCGCCCTGTTCATGAAACTAGTGTATAAAAAGTAATTGATTATTTTAAAAATGCGTGATTATTTGAGTTATCTAAAAAAATAATAATAAACAAATTTAGTATTTTTATGAAAAACTCCGAAAATAAAAATGTTAAACTTATTATAAGAAAGAATTTCTATGTATTATAATAAGTTATAAAGACTGTAAAAATTTCACAGTTGGAATAAGGGAATCAGAATAAAAGAAAAGCTGTTATTCTTTAGCTTGAATAAAAAGAATGAGATAAAAAAAAGGCTGTTATTCTTCACCCTGAATAAAAAGAATGAATGAAATAAAAGAATAGCTGTTAATTCTTCAGCTTGTATAATAAAAAGAATGAAATAAAAGAGAATAGCTGTTAATTCTTTAGCTTATATAAAAAAAAGAAAATAAAAGATAACTAGCAATTAGTTTGTGTTATAAAGTCATAAAAGAAAGATAAAACCATATTAAGATTTTTACGATTAGAATAAAAAAATCATATTAAAAAAGAAGTTATTAGTAACAAACCCAGAAACTGCTATACTTAAGTATGAAGGTAAAGGTAAACCTGGTATAGGTTATTAAAAAGAGTAATGGGTTTAATGTAAAAGTATAAATGAGTTTGAAGGTATTAAAAGAAAGAGTTATAAAATTATAAGAACATATAGAATAAGGTTAGAAATAAATATAAAGAATTTGTAAAGTACTGAAAAAGAGAAGTTATAAAGGAGTTGTAATAAGAGAAATTGTATTGATTATTATGAAATGAAGTTAAATAAAGTTAAAAAATAAAAGTTACAAATGAATTTTATAAAAGAAGTATAATATTATTCGTTATAATAAAGAAATTAATGTTATAAAGAAGTATAATAATGAAAGTATGAAAAAATAAAATGTAAAATTTG